TCCAGAGGACCTGAGTTCAATTCCCAGCAACCACATGGTGGTCACAACCATCCATAATGAGATCTGATGCCCTCTTCTGGCTTGCAGGCATACATGCAGGCAGAACCTGTGTATGTAATAAATAAATTTAAAGAAAAAAAGAAAAAAGAAAGAATCTAACATCCCAATAACGTTCAGCCTGTCAATTAACTTCTTGCCTGAAGGCTGCCACTCCACTCCAGCATCACTTACAGCTTATTGACACTGGCTTCTGGAGAACAGGGGGTTCAAGAGCAAGCCAGAGGAAGGCTGCTTGGAATCTCTCAGAAGAGACTTACTCCCAGGGAGAAGCCAGCATAGCCATCATGACCTGTCAGTTAAAAAAAAAAAAAAAAAAAAAAAAAAGATTTATTTATTTATTATCTATACAGTGTTCTGCCTACATGCATGCCTGCAGACCAGAAGAGGGCACCAGATCTCATTACGGATAGTTGTGAGCTACCATGTGTTTACTAGGAATTGAATTCAGAACCTTTGGAAGAACAGTCAGTGCTCTTAACCTCTGAGCCATCTCTCTAGCCCGGCCTGTCACCTTTTAAAGTTCACAGCCTGAGTATCATGAAATTGGCCCCCTAGTTCTCCATGTTGAAGCCCTGAGTGTTAAAGGAGATGCCTCAAGTCCAGGATGGTGCCCAAGGTTCTATTTTTATTTCTACAAGCCCCTGCCTATGTCTGTGTCGCTAACCTGGGACTCCAACCCAAGAACAGCTGGTGAAGGGTTCCAGTACACTTGCGGTGAGATTTCTTGGTTTCTGGGGCCAGGTGGGTTCTCAGCACAGCAGCTGTCACCCCTAGGAGCCTCTAAGATGATCTGTCTGAGTCACAGCAAGCCTGTTTTGGGGGTGGATGGCACAACGTCTCCTTGAGGGCCAGGTGGCAGAAGTGGTCGAAAGTCATGGACACAAAAGAAAGAACAGTGGAGCCAAAAGCTCTAGGCTTACACAGACAATAATCCCAGCATTCCCTGGTGCACCCTCAGGCAGAATGTGGTCCCTTTGAGCTCCTGCTGAGGTGTGTGTGTGTGCGTGTTGTGTGTGTAAGAGAGAGAGAGAGAGAGAGAGAGAGAGAGAGAACTTTACAGCTAATCCATCTGTGTGGGAATGGGGGTGGGCCCCCAAGAGTTCTACTCTATTAATATTCCTGCTGGAGCAGCTTGCCTCCCCACAAAAAAAAAAAAAAAACTAAACTAAACTAAACTCCAGAAGCATTGAGGCAGATGAGAGTTGATGAAGGGAGGGGGAGGAGGAAGAATGAGTGGAGGGGAGAGGAGAGCAGGAGAAGGATGGGAATTTGTATCAAACACTCAGCAAATGCCCTGTCCTCATTTCCTCCTGACAACAGTGCAGCGAGGGCCATACAATCACCAAGCAACAGCATGAAGCTCAGAATAGCTGTGTCCCCGTGACAGGTACTGGGTGCCCTCAAAAGTCTTACGTCCTAACTCCCACCACGTGCTTTTATCTTTTATCTTTTTACAAGGTCATGATAGAGCCCAGACTGGCTTTAAAAGTGTAATCCTCCTGCCTCAGCCTTGCAGTGCTGGGATCACACAGACACATCCAAATGTACTTTAGAGGTGTCCTGGCTGAGTGCTCCACCATCCTTAGTAGGCTCCCCTCTGAGGACAGGATGACCATCGGCAGGGAGCTAGCTCCTCCCCAGGCAGGCTATCCAAAAGTATGTGATCTAAAACACTGCCAGGCTGACACCAGACAAGCTAAAAGACAGTCCCCTAGTGCCACAACAGTTAACAACTGCCTGTAAGACAGAACCATAAAAGGAGCAAACGGAAGTGGCTCTTGAATTCTGGGGAAATCTCCACCCATTCCCAGAGAAGCCAAGACTCTCCCAACCCTTAAGTATCTAACCCTGACCTCTTTTGTGCCATTTACGCCTTCCCTGGTCTCAGAGGCTTGCAACACTGATGTGAGAATTCGGGAGTGGGGGGGGTGTTAAAAATAAGCCCTGGTTTATCATCCTTGCCTAGGTTTGTTTATTGGTTCCATGACTATGGGATCGAAACTTGTTAACACTAACACTGCTTTTTGTTTTCTTTTTATAGGGAAAATGAGACAAGTTCTCATTCTGTGGCCCAGGTTGGTCTTGAATTCATGGCAATCCTTCTGCCTCAGCCTTCCAAGGACTGACATTACAGATGCCAGTTGGGATTCTGGTAGCACTCTTATTTAGAAACAGGTTTTTACAGAAGTAATCAGATAGAGATGAGATTGGCAGTATCAGTCCTAGTCCTACATGACGATTGGCGTAATTAAAAAGTGAAATTTGGACCAATGAAATGGCTCAGCATGTAAAGGCTTGCCACCAAGCCTGAAGACCTGAGTTCCATCCCAGGGCTACCGGTGACAGAAGGAGAAAACCAACTTGCTCAAGTTGCCCTCTGACCTCCATACACACACTGAATGTCCTATGTGCGCGCATGCGCGCGCACACACACACACACACACACACACACTAGATGTAATTATAAAGTAAAACGTGGAGACAGGCCCACAGAAGGGGGACATGATAAGAGACAGAGGAAGATGGCTGTCTGCAAGCCAACAAGGGAATCAGAACAGTCTCCAGTGGCCCTCAGGAGCCAACCCTGCCTTTCACTGCAGACTTCCGGCTCCAGGCACCTAGCTTCTGAGCAGACAGATTTCTAAGCCTGTGCACAGACTTGGTTTGATGTTATGAACCTGCCATGCCTAGTCATGAGGGGTCAACTTCTCTCTTTAGACCCTGTCTAGATTGCCTGGGACTTCAGCCAATTTTCCCCACAAAAATAAGCCCCTGAAGACAGGGACACTGAGGCCAGTCTCACCAGTCACGTTCCTCCACTCATCTTCTCACCCATTCCCACCTTCAGGCAAGCTCCCCGCACACCCCACCCCCACTGACAGCCAGTTTTTTCCCCACCCAGGATACTCTGAAGATCTTGTTCCCATGAAGACAAGCTCCCTGTCATACCCACCCTCTGCTTCCCAAGGGGGAGACTGCTCACTCTCCCACACTCCCACGGCAGGAAATAGCACAGATCTGCTTCCTGTTCCCAGTTGATGCCTCTAGGACATCAATCTTCCTCCCTCAGACATTGTCTCTGACACCCCTAACAGCTCCCATGGCCAAGGTCCCTTTTGTGTAACCTCTCTGGAGAATGTCACACTGGCCAGCATCTCAAGAGATTCCAATATACAGTTAAGGACACATGAAGCCCCAGGCTCACAGTCCCCTCCACCAGGACATTTCCCTCCACCCATCAGCCCACATCCCTGGCCTCATCCAGACCTGTGTCACCTAGAGAACTTCTTCATCACTGGCATCATGAAGTGGTGGTCCCTCCTGCCCACTGACCTGTCTCCTCCCTCCCCTCCACCATGCCTGCTCCCTTCCCTTCCCTCTAGTCCCCACAGATCTGTCAATGTCAGATGTCCCCTCTTCCCCTGGGGGCAAGTTATCACTACTCTCTAGAAAGGCCTATTCTCCTGGAAGGTCCTTTCTCGTTGTAGAAACTCAGCCCAGATACGCCTCACAGGGGAAGCCTTCCCTGAAGCCCTAGGGTCAAGTAGGGGAAGTGAGACACAGCTGCCGCCTGGAGGCAGCCAGTGAAATTGGGAAAACAGAAAGTGTAGCTGGAGGTTAGAGGCCTCTGAGTTCAACTGCAGCCTGTCAGTCCCCAGCTGGGCTCCCCAGTGTGCTCGGAACTGGCTTCCCCACCTCCTCATTCCCCTGCCCCTGAGTAAACAGCCCACTTTTGGTCACCTTTTCTATCTCCTGCATTCGTCCTGAGCTTAAGGGCCTCTCAGCCTGCGTGCACATGACCCAACACTGGCATCCACTCACCCCCAAAGCTGCACCCCCTCCCCGCCCTGCCTGGGAGCTTGTAGGCCAGCAGCACGGTGGCATTAGGGAGGGAAAAGCTGGGGAAGCACCTGGGTGACAAAAGGCCTCATTGGTGACAGCCCCTGGAAGAAGACATTCTGGGCTACCCAAAGCATGGCAGGGAGGCACAGGTCCCCTGCCCCCTAACAGTCTCCCCCATGAAGAACAGCAGGCTGAGGAAAGACAGATCACCATCCATAAGGCAGAGTCCCTCCTGCCCACATCTAACTAGAGTGTTCTCCTTGTTCAAATGTCCTAACTCCCTAGAAGTGACACGAAGTGTTAGGGGAACCATGGCGGAATTACCTCACCCTGCCTGAAGTGGCTAAGCCCCACACTGAGACAGAAAGGCAGTTGGAACTTGGGGACCTATAAGTGCCACCATCAGGAGCCGTTGTAGTGCTCGAATACAAATGGTTCTGCCCCTTCACCATCAAAACAAAGGACCACAAACCAGGTGCTACCACGCACCTGTAACCCCCCAGCACTCAAGAGCTGGAGGCAGAAGGATCAGGTCACCGTCATCTTCAGATTCCTACTCAGTTTGAGACCACCCTGAACTACATGAGATCAGGTACTGAAAACAAAATAAAACAAAAACAACCCAGGAACCACAAAACAGGATGACAGCGTGAGCAAGCAAAAGGGCTCGTTGGGGACGTCATCTCAGTCCTTATGGAGCACAGCCCCATGGGCCTCAATTTTCCGAGAGGAAAAAGTCTGTGGCTGAGACCAATCTCCCTGAGCACACAGCCACTTCGTTTTGGCAGAGGGAGGCCTGGAAGCAATCTGGGGCTGGCGGGTGGAATGAGTGGAACAAATGAACACCTGACAGGGAATGAACCAGAAACACGGGGTCCCATGTCCCTGTCCAGACAGCCCCTGGCTCTAGGGTGGGACCAGGCTATGCTGGGAGCCTTGGCTGGGTAACTCTGGCCATGCCCTTTGCGTCGTCCAATTGTGAGTTGGCAGAAGGGGGAAGAGAGACTCCGAGAGTGTTTGGTTCTTGGAATTTCCCCTCATAGGAACGTTTACTCTGGTTGATCTGAAGAAGTAGCTGGCGTTTGTTTGTTCATTACCTGAACATTCCGTCGTTGATGTCTTATAAGCTCCCTCCGGTGTACAGTTCTTTTTACCTTACCCGGCAAAATACAACACTTCTCAGACTCTGGTTTGCAGACCACATTGCTTAGGTCCACGGCTTCGGGAATTCTACACTCTTTTCTTCCCGTGTCTTCTCTATGATGACCACGAGAGGGAGCCAGCGCGCCTGTTTGCTCCAGGACTTGTGGTGCGGACTTCCAAACACATTGAGCCTCTGAGCTCAACCCATTGAGTGCAGAACTCCAGTGTACATAATTCTGTAGAGCCCTGAGATTTTAGGCAACTTGTTTTAAAACAGTAAAAAATTGGCGAACATGAAAAAGACTCTCTGGTCTTTGCTATCTTGGTTTTACATAATCTGTATAGAAGGGAAGGGTTTTTTCGTTGTTGGTGGTAATTTATTCTGTTTTGTTTTTAGTTTTTGAGACAAGGTCTCAAAGCCTGCATTGACCTCTAACTCACTATGTAGCAGAGCCCAGGACTCCTGATCCTCCTGCCTCTACCCTCCAAGCCCTGGAATAACAAACATGCACTACAAGGCAAAGCTGAATGTATGTGTTTTTATTGACCCCTTTAATTCTAAACAGTATGAGAAAAATAACAGTAATTCTATAGGATAACTATTAGATAACTGGTATGTAAATGGAACACAAGAATGAATTTTAAGTTGCTTTTTAAATATTAGAATAGAGAAATTATAGCTCTCATTTTTATATTTGAGAAATAAGGTTTTGTTTGTTTGGGGTTTTGCTGTTGTTTGTAGATGTGTGGCTAGTCTGTTGTTCAAAAGAAGATCTCCTGTAGCTCAGTCTTCTCTTGAACTGGCTATATAACCAAAGACAACCTTGAACTTTTGCCTGTACCTTCCAAGCCCTGTATTCCAGGCATGTGCTACCATGCCTGGTGCAGAATAGTTCTTTTATTATATATTTTAAAATAACTGTGGGGGGCATACAAGTGCACACATGCATCAAGGCTCTTCTGAGGAGGTCAGAGGACAACTTCTCAGTCCGTGTTTTCCTTCCACCATCCCAGGGATACAATAATGCTAGTCATCAGGATTGACAAAGTATCCACGGAGCCATCCTACCCAGCCCACAAAACAGCTCTTAATTCCATTCTGTGAAGCATGTTGGATAGCAGGCAAAGAAAACTGGAAGCCCCTGATACTTTTCCACCAAGAAATTATGTAGAGCAGGAGAAAGGTTGACTTAGTGACTGCTAGACAGTCAGGAGTTAGGCCTTGAAGACTGTGTGGCAATGTGACCATCTGTGAGCTGGGAAACAATAAGGCTGGGCTGTGATGACAGAGATACGGAATAAAGGAAAGCTGTATAAGGCTGTGAAGGAATAACTGAGACTAGGTTCCTGACCAAAGAGAGGGGTCGAAGAGACCCGAAGTAAGCTGGGGCTGGGGCACAGGGCGATTCAACACTGACCAGAGCTTGGGGCAGGAAGAAGAGAGCATTGCTAATCAGTCTCTGCATTTTTGCTATGTGTTTTTAATTGTGTGTGCGTGTGTGTGTGTGTGTGCATCTGTGTGTGCATCTGTGTGTGTGTGTGTGCATCTGTGTGTCTGTGTGTGAGCAGGAAGAATGCTAGTAAATGTGTAGCAGTGAAGAGATTTCTAGGCTATTGGTCCATCAGCAACGGAAGTGCCTGCATCCATTCCTGTTCCAGTGAGACACAGACTGGGGGACACATACCTAGACAGCCAAGGTGGCCTGGGATAGGAACAGACAGTCTTTGAGACCGGTGCCTTGGGTAGACTTTATCCCTTCTGGCTTCTCCATCTCCCCTAAGCCAGAGTTCCTTCTCTGAACTGGAGTTTTTTGGTCTATAAGCTCTTTTGCCCAATGCACAATAAAAAGTAGTAAGTGTATTAGCCAGGGTTCTCTAGAGGAATACAACAACAGAATGAATCTAGATATAGAGAAAGGGGATTTATTAGAGTGGCTTACAGGCTCTGGTCCATCGAATCCAACAATGGCTGTCTACCAGCAGAAGGTCCAAGAATCCAGTAGTTGTTCAGTCCACAAAGCTGGATGTCTCGGCTGGTCTTCACTATACGTCAGAATCCCAAAAGAGCAGGCTCTAATGCCAGTATAGGAATGAACTTGCCATGGAGAACAAAAACAAGCAGGCAAAGAATAAAAGCTTCCTTCTTCCATATCCTCTATGTAGGCTGCCAGCAGAGGGTGTGGCCCAGATTAAAGGTAGATCTTCACACCTCAAAAGTGGTTTCTTACTTCAATTATTTTAATTTAAGAAAAAAAATCCTTCCGGAAGGTGGTGGTGCACACCTTTAATCCCAGCACTTGGGAGGCAGAGGCAGGTGGATCTCTATGAGTTCGAGGCCAGCCTGGTCTGCAGAGCAAGTTCCAGGACAGCCAAGGCTACACAGAGAAACCCTGTCTTAAACACAAACAAACAAACAAACAAAAATCCTCACAAGTGTACCCAGCCTCTTGGGTTTTAGTTAATTCCAGTGTGGTCAAGTTGACAACCAAGAACAGCTGTCTCAGTGATAAAGAGTGCACTGTGAGGCCCAGAAGATTCTCTCTTCTCCAAAGTATCTTTAGCCAACTAACTCTCCCCTCCCCCAGGGCGCAGGGATTCCTGGGGCTGAAGGTGGGGTATTTTCCAATAGGAATCTTCAATTCAGATCAATCTCGAATAGTCACTGCTGAGAAGGGACTCAAGCCTTGGGCCCTCTCAGTATGCCTCTTTCACCTTCTCAGAAATAGGGCTGGACTATCCTTGAGTGGGAGGCAGAGAAACCCGCGAGCCTTTGAAACATGTGGACCCCAGATCTCAGCAGCACAGGACAAGGCATGGTCCCTCCACCTCCCATGGGAAAGTTCTTCTCAGATTCCTGGGTTCCCAGTGGATGCTGCCATTTGTTGGGGACAAAGTGGCCATCAAACACTGCTTAGGAGACTCCCGAGAGGCACAGGAGAGACCAAGTGCCCTAAAAGGGCATTCCTTCAGACACACCCCATGACTGGCCTCAGGTATACCTGAGTTCCTATTCATCACAACACTGTGCCCAGCACACACAATACCCTCAACAACGTAGGTGGGGATCACACAGGTGATGTCAAAGGCAGGCGGCAGAAGGAACGTGAGCATGACCGCTATGCTTTGTAGCCCTGCTAACAGCAGTCTCCAGAGTGGCCCTACCCATGTTAGGGCTAGATGGTTCTTCATTGACCTCTGCATTATGGGATCTTGAACTAGTGTCCCAGATTCTACCATTAAATAACAGTAAGGCTCTGCGACTGTGACAAAGCCATCTGCAAACATTACCAAATGTTGCAGGGGTGGCAATGTTGCCCCACTGACATTGGCTAAATTATAGCTAAATTATTTGCAGTGTCCATCAGCCTTGGTCCCCTCACAGGGTTTCAGACCCTGTGTTCTAAGATTTCCCCATTCTCTTTCTCAAAAAGTTGTGCTACTAAAACCTGGGCCCTTCCTCGGGACCTGCTTTTCTGTTCTTTCAAAATATGAGTGAATTCCAAGTCAATTATTAATGGAAAACAGACCCCAGTGGTTCACCTCCGCACTCCTTCCATTGTCACTGGAGCGCTTGGAAGCAATCCTATGACACCAGTCCTGTGTCACAAAGACTCAAGACAGCACAAGCTGGGATGGAGGAATGACGATGGTTTACATGACCCACTTGCCTCAGCTCATCGAGCCTGCAGGTTCCCTCCTGCCAGAGCCATGGAGCTTCCACAGGTACCTACACCACCCTTGAAATGGGACCCAAAGGCCAAATGAAGTACTCTGGAAGCTGAGGCAGGAGGGTCATAAATCCCAGGCTAGCCTGGGCTACAAAGTAAATCAACCGCCACCAGCTGGTGTGTGTGTGTGTGTGTGTGTGTGTGTGTGTGTGTGTGTTC